CCTTAACCGTTTGGGACCAGACTGGAAGGCAGTGGTAAGGCTTGGAATGTCCACCTGGGAGAACAGCGGGCAGGGCTGGACGGCCAGGCAGACGGCTGGAGGTGAGGCACCGGGGCACAAGGAGGTGAATCCAGCTGGAGGGCCCACCTGACCTCCTCACTGTGTACCCAACCTGGGCCGGGAGTGGGCGCAGGCCTGGCCAGGCGAGCAGAGATGGGGTCTCAGACCGGGCTGGTCCACGGCCCCCGCTATGGAACACAGTCCCGGTGAGGTCATCCAGAGAGGGCCCCCGGTTTGGAACTTAGGTCACTCTCCCCGGAGAGGCGGCGGCATGGCGTGGGAGATGTCTTCGAGGCAGTGTGTAAGACCAACTGCTTAGGGTGGCTGCGTGTCGGGAGGTGCGGGCCTTTCCGGCCAGAGGTTCAGAACCACATTTCTTCCAGAGCGCGTTCGGGTTAGGGCTTCTCAGCTGGCCCTCCCACCATCCCCAAGTGCCTCCCTTCCCCGGTGTTGACTGGACACCTGCCCTGGGCTGGACGCTCAGAGGACACTGAGGGCATGGGCAGGGCCGGGACAGCCAGCAGGTGTGGTCCCCACACCACTTAGGTCCCATGGGCTCGAGAGAGGTCAGTGTTAATCCAGGAATGATGAATGGAGGTATGAGTTAACATGAATAATAGAGAAGTACAAATTCATACTTGAAATGGTCACAAGTATTGCTTGCTATAAATCAGGACCTATAGTGTAAGTTGTTTTGATGTGTGTGTGTGTCTAGTGTTGGGCTGGGGGAAAGGAGAGGGAAGGAAGCGCTCTCAGGAGGGCGGGGGGGGGGGGGGGGGTGGTGCGATGGGGCGCGCAGTAAGCACAGTAGAGGAGGTTAGAGGGTGTGATTGAGCGTACATGTGCGTGTGCGGGTGAGCGTGGCAGTGTGGGTTTGTGCGTCTCCGTGTGGGAGGGTAGAGTGACGGTCGCGGGGGGACGGGGGGTATGCGTAGGAGTGCGTGTGTCCGGGTTACTGTATGTGCCCATGAGTGTGAGGGTGTGTGTGTGGGGGGGGGGTGTCCGTGCGTGTGAAGTGTGTCGTGTTGCGACGAGCGTAAGTGGTGTGGGTGCAGAGGAGCCCGTGCGTCTTTACCGTGGACGACAGTGCGTGTGCCTCGTGTGAGGGTGTATCTGTAGGAGCGTGTGCGTGCGCCCCGCGCCCCACAGTCCGCGTTGGCCGGAGGCGGCGTCAGCGGGCTGGGTGCGGCCCCGCTCGGTGCGGCACTGGGAGTTCTCCAAGGTGCTAAAATAAACCCCGCGAAGGATCAGGTTTCCCGACCGAAATAACCCAGGAGCGGCCTTCGAAATGCGAACTGCGATAGAGATCCGGGAGGGAGCGCCCGGGGGCGGGCGAGCGGTGGTGAAAAATGCTCCCTTCCCCTCCCCTCCCCTCCCCTCCCCTCCCCGCAGGGGCCCCGCCACCGCCGCCGCCGCCCCTCCCTCTTCTCCCCTCCAGCTGCGCGCGCCCCTCCCCAGGACGCCGCCCTCCGGGGAGCAGAGCTTCTCCCCCACCCCGCCCAACCCCCTTCCCCCTCCCTTCTGGGGTCATCACCCCAAATAACCGGCCTCCTTTGGCCATCCGTCTTTGTAGGAGTTAGTAAGTTTGTAGGAGACTTGACGCCCGGGTTCCAGAACCAAATAGTCGTTCATTTGATGAATATTTATTGACTGCCTTCTATAGGCCGGGCAGTGCCCCTGGGCCCGTAAGTGAAGGAACAGACGGCTGTCCCTGCCCCCCCTCCCTCGCCGGGGCAGACCCTGTGTTAGGAGGACACTAGCCATAGACACGCACAGAATAAGGGTGACGGCACGTTAGAAAGGACAGTGACCAAGAGGAAGAGAGCAGAGGAGGGGGAGGGGTATTGGGGTGATGTTTGAGTCCTGGGGTACCGCGCTGGCTCACTGGACGACCGGCAAAGAATCCCTTCGCCTCTGAGCTTTGATGCTCCCATTTGTGTGATGGAGACTAAAAGCTTGACTGTGAAGTTGGCCGGAGGGTTAAGGGACCCACACTTAGCTCCAAGTAGGCAAGAGCAACCGTTAAGTACAAGCCAACGATAAATGCACTTGGCGGTAGTAAGTAATAGCAGGTTGGTGCTAGATCGGAGCGGAGCGCCATCTTAAAGCTTCGGAGACAGCAAATAACCCGTGTCTGCCATGTGCAAACTGCTCTAGGCCCCACAAAGCTGCCAGAAAACCTCTCCTGCTCTCAAAGGAGAGAGAGGCAGTGTATCCAGCTGGTTAGAGGCAAGGGCTTGAGGCTGAAACCCAAGTGTGAATCCCGGTTTCCCCTGACGAGCTGTGGGCCCTAGCAAGTCGCAGCACCCTCCACCCGGCCCTTCCTTCAGCAGCTGACAGGGCTGGGACAGGAAGGCTGTGTGGACCATGGGCCAGGGAGGGCAATGGCTCAGGGGAGGCCAGGTAGTCTGCGGGCATGGGGCCACCCCAGAGTCACCTTCGCGCTTCCCTCGGGTCCTTGCACGAGGCCTGGTGCGTAGCGGGCCTCAAGCAGTGTTCCAGGAGTGAACGAGTGAATGAGTGAGGGCCAAGCAGTTGGGAAATAGAGAAGCGGTGAAGCATATGGCCAGAAAGACAGCCTGCAGGCTCAGAGTTGCAGGGACCAGCCAGCCCCCGTTCCAACTCTGGCCTCGACCCGCTGTGCGGCCTCACAGGTGATGTCACCACCCCAGGCTGCTCTTCCTCATCTCTAACGTGGGGACAGGGTGGTTAGACTTGCCCTGTTGGCTAGACGTCTCTATAATCCGTGCTCTTCTGGGCCTGGGTACGGCAGTGGGTGGCTCAGGGTGACCCATCGGATCTCTGGGGGTGCACTTGGCACTTGCCACTTTAACCACGTATTCATATTCTACTCTGGTGTGCAGGGGTGTAGTGTAAGGATGGCCATGCCAGAGGAGTTCTGGAGAGTCATAAGATGGGGACAAACTACCTGTCCAATAATCAGGGGTCGCTTCCATAAAGTATGGCCCGTCCACATGACCGAATGCCAAGGAACCGTTGAAAAAAATGGTGGGTCGTCATGGAAACATGGTCAGGTTTCTATTAAGTGAAAAGGGTAGGTTTTTATTTTTTTTATTAGTTTTCTTGATTTTTGAGAGGCAGAGAGAGACAGAACGCATGTGGGGGAGGGGCAGAGAGAGAGGGAGACACAGAATCGGAAGCAGACCCCAGGCTCTGAGCTGTCAACACAGAGCCCGACGCGGGGCCCGAACTCACGAACCGTGAGATCGCGACCCGAGCCGAAGTCGGATGCTCAACCGAATGAACCACCCGGGCGCCCCGAAAGGGTAGGTTATTTTTTTAAAGGGCATGTAATCCAACCATATTTTTAAATGCATTTCTGTGCAGAGATGATATCTATAGATACAGTCTGTTTAGTATAGATTCTTTCTGGTTATTAAAGTAATACTTGCTTTTGTAAACTATTTCCAGAACCGGAGAGGGGACCCTTTATAACCTGACCGCCCTCGTGTTAACAAGGGGTGGTCTCCAGGCAGTGGGATTACACCTGTATCATCTGTATTTATTGAGTTTATTTGAACAGGCATGGAAAACCTTGACAGTAAGGAAAAAATTAGGGTATCGGTAAAAGTACACTGTTTTATAAACTGGCTAGTTATTTCATGGGTGTGTATCCTCTCTAATTAGACTTCAGGAAAAGATCAGTGACAGCATCGATTCAATGAGTGAATGCATTCTGAGAATTCTTTTTTTTTTTTTAATGTTTATTTATTTATTTTGAGAGAGAGGGAGAGTGCAGGGGAGGGGCAGAGAGAGAGAGGGAGAGAGAGAGAATCCCAAGCAGGCTCTGTGCTGTGCTGTCAGCGCAGAGCCTAACCCGGGGCTCGATCCCGTGACCGTGAGACCATGACCTGGGCCCAAATCCAGAGTTGGATGCTTAACTGAGCCACCCAGGCGCTGCTGAATTCTGAGAATTTTTGAGAAGTAGGACTGTGTGGCCTATGGTAGGGCCTCGTAAAGGGGTGGAGCCTGCTTCTCAGCTGTCTGAGAAAGTGAACAGGGCCACCCTACCTGAGAGAGGAAGGAGCAGGTCTCAGGCTCAGTGAGCCCCTCACACCATCCTTCCATCAGCCCCCCGCACCCCCCCAGGATGGGGAACAGAGGCCAGGAGGGCTCATAGGACTTACTTGTGGTCACTAAGCTGGAGGTGGCCAAGCCAGGGTTTGAACCTGGGGCTGTCTCACGCCAGAGCCTCCCCTTAACCACTCCTGGGTCAGAGCGCAGCTGGACCCCGTGGACTTCTTCAGCATGGTCCCACTGTGGCCCTCAGAACCTGCTGGCCGCTCTGACCAGACCGAGATGCTGACACAGACCTCGGGGTATTAATAGCCCCAATCTGGGCTAGGCTCCTCTTCCCCTCCTGAGGCCAGCCCAGGTCATGGGCCCCACGCAGGGAGAGGGAGATGCGTGCCCTGGTGGAGGACTGAGCGAGTGTGCCCAGGTCCCTGCTGTCTGAGGGATCCGTGTCTGGACGCCCTCCTGTTCCACCCCAGGGGCTGGCTTGGGAGTTGAACCTCCACCCTTTTGGGCTGCTTGGCTGGAGGCCTTCATGCCTCTGAGCCTCAGCTTCCTCATCTGTAAAATGGGGGTGGTATCACAGCTTCACAGAAAGGCTGGTTATGGGGCACAAAGGAGCTAGAGCACACAGCTCAGTACACTGCCCGCCACCCACGCATTCCGAGCACATCTGCATGTGTAGCTGTCTAGGAGCCAGGATGAGGCAGCCCGGGTCGTCAGTGCTCCACCCAAGAGGCTGGGACGCCACCCAGTCTGGAACATTGTCTTCTGTGGCTGCGTGATCTGAATGGAACAGTCTGGAAGAAGGATGCCGGGGAGTCTGCAAGGGACCCCGGACTGAGGGCTCCTGGAGTCTGCCTTCGCACCGACCAGGTATGGCGTAGGTGTGGGTCCTTCTGAAAGGGACACTCGGAAGTGAGACAAGACTGGGCCTTTTTTGCCAAACAGAATCAATTCCTAACCCATAGGGTTGAGGGCTCACTGTGGGGCAGGGACCCTGCTCAGCATTTAACAGACGTCATCTCACTGACCTCACAATGGCCTTTGAGAGGTAGACGCTAATATTCCCATGTTACAGGTGGAGACACCAAGGCCCAGACGGGCCACGTGACTTGTTCAAGATCCCACGGCTTAGTTGGTGCCGGATCCCAGGTCATCCCCCATTTGTCAGACTCTGGAGACCATAGCTGGTGCCCTGTGGCCAGAGAGCACTCACCTCCCCCACCTTGGAAGGCTCTGAACCTGGTGCCTGGAGGCTGTGGGGTGTCACGGGTGGGCTCCATGATTGGAAGGGAAGGTCACAGCCTCCTGCCTCCATCCCAGCTGGATGGACAGGCCCTGAGCTGTGAGACCAGGGCATTCACTGCTGAGCCTTCTGGTCACCCTATATCAATGGCTTTCCCTTGAGCCCAGGCCCAGCCAGCCCTCAAAGGGCTGTAGAGACTTTGGGTTCCTGTAGTCACCCAGGTGGGGACAGAGAGGCCTGACTCAAACCCCAAGTCCTCAGCTGGGCCCTCTCAGTCTGCCCTCTTTGGCTCCCAGCCTCTCTTGTCCTTCTGCGTCATGCACTGGCCACACAGGCCTCTGGGACTTCATGTGGGGTAACCTGTCCTCCCACCGTGATTCTCAAGACAAACCCAGGCTGTGGTTCTGTGACCCTATCCCACGTCTCTGCACCTGCAATCATTTCCATGTCATTTGTCTGCCCCCCCCCCCCCCACTGAACTGAGCTTCCCGGGGACAGGACGGACCTGTCATTTGTGGCGCATGCCAGGCCCCTCGGGTCGCATCAGGCGTTTGATAACCACTGGTGGGCTGCCTGAAGCTGCTGGAGTGCCCCTGTCCTTCGAAAAAACTCTAAGCAGTGGAGGCAGCCTCCAAGAGGCAGATCCATTACCAACCGATCACCCAACCCTCCCTCTAATGGAAATCAGATCTTACAGATTATTGCCATTTGATTGGACTCTCATGCACCGAAGCCAAATTCAAGACTGATCAAAAAATAGGAATAAAGCCCCAACCTGCCAGCTTAATGAAATGCTGTCACGGGGTGGGGGGGGGGGGGGGGCGGGGCCCGGCCCCAGCCGACCCAAGATGATGCCGTCAGTGACGTCCTTCACTCCGTCTGGTGCCCGGGGAGGCCTTTGGCGTGGCCCCACTGTCCGGTCCACAGGACGGGGTCCCAGGGCCCAGGCCAATGGGGCGGGTGGGCCTGGCTCACAGGGGTCCACGCTGCGCTGCTCCGAGGGAACCTGGTAAGAGCAGGGGTTAGTTCAGGGCCTGCGTCTGGGGGCCTCTGGGCCAGGGCAGCGGGAGGACTACATTTCCCAGACTCCTCCAGTCCCGGGGAGTGAGCCATTGGAAGATTTAAATAGCCCAGGCCCTGAGGCAGCGAGGCCGCAGCTGTGGACTCGTCCGCCTCCCCGGTGGCTCCATTGGCGCTGGCCCGCATCGGTGGGCTCGATTGGCTGCGCAGCTGGCACTGACGTCCCCGTGGAGCCCGGTGGCAGCTGGAGGTAAACAGCCATGTGCAATCCTGCACTCTATATTTAACAGCTGCTGCGGAGAAGGCAGGGAGGCAGGGAGTGGTGGCGGGATCCCCGGGCGGCTCCAGTCTTCGGGGAGAAGGCCTCCCAGCCCGGCTGGCACCGGCCCTCGTGGCGCGAGGCGTCACCATGCCAGCCTCCCAGAGCCGCGCCCGGGCCCGGGACCGCAACAACGTCCTCAACAGAGCCGAGTTCCTGTCCCTGAACCAGCCCCCCAAGGGCGCCCCGGAGCCCCGCAGCTCGGGCAGGAAGGCCCCGGGCCCCTCGGCGCAGCCCCCGTCCCCTGGCGATGGGGCCCGCGAGAGGCGCCAGTCACAGCAGCTGCCCGAGGAGGACTGCATGCAGCTGAACCCCTCCTTCAAGGGCATCGCCTTCAACTCCCTGCTGGCCATTGACATCTGCATGTCCAAGCGGCTGGGGGTGTGTGCCGGCCGTGCCGCGTCCTGGGCCAGCGCCCGCTCCATGGTCAAGCTCATTGGCATCACGGGCCACGGCATCCCCTGGATCGGGGGTACCATCCTCTGCCTGGTGAAGAGCAGCACACTGGCCGGCCAGGAGGTGCTCATGAACCTGCTCCTGGGTGAGTGTGCCCGCCATCCGCCACCCGCCCCGCCAGTTCCCCCGGGAGGGAGCCCACACCACCCCGCCCCGGCCAGCATGAGTGGGGCCCTCACAAGCCGCCTGGCACCAGCTAATGAGGTTAGGCAGGAAGGGTGCCCCAGAAACAGGCAACCCTCCAGCCTGGGAAAGAGAGAGCCGGGGATGCGCAGGCGGGGGCCCCCCTCCAGAGCGGGGGCCTCGAGAAGGTGGAGGCCCTGAGGGAACCTCCAAGGAAGGGCCCGGCTCTTGGCAAAGTGCCCCCACTGCCCCAGAGGCGGCTTGAAGGGAGGGGGTGCTGGAGGATGTGGCCTCGAGGGAGGCCGTCAAGAATCTGGTGGGGGTCCTGGAGCTGGGATCCTGGTAAGTGTCCAGAGAGGGGGAGCTCCCATCCCATGGGTTGGGGTCCTTGAGTTCCTAGGCTGCTTGCAAACAGGGCTTGGGAGCTGCCCCCATGCCCCCCCCCCGGTTGGTTCAGAGCCCCTGCCTGCTGCCCAGGCCTGGGGGTGCCGGAGGTCCAGTCTGGGGCTCCTGCCCACTTGTGGCCGCCTAGAGTCCTTACCTGCTGCTTCCCTCGGTGAGTCGCTGGAGGAACCGGCCAGGTGAGCTGGTGCTGGTTTGTTTTACCACCGTCTCTGCTGCCGGTATCTCTCCGTTTGGCACCGTCCTGTGCTGGGGGACCCACTCCCCTCCACTCGCAAGGTGACACCGACCCCCATCCTGCGCACCTGCAGATCCCCAAGGTGCTAGGGGAACCCCGGCTTCCACCCTCCACGCCGGGCCCACGTTGGTCCCCTCGGCCCTCTCAGTGCGGCCACCGATTTGGGCACAGGTGGTCGGAGGTCTCAGGCCAAGCAAACCCTGCCGAGGGAACCCAGCTCCAGAAGGGGGTAGTAGGCTGGGACACCGACAGCTGCGATCCCAGATGACGTTAGGATAATGTGCATCTCGCTGCTTAGGTCTCAGAGGGTCTGGGACTGGACATGCTGTGGGTGGGACGTGGGGAGGAGGAGATGGTCAGGGGCTTCCTTGCAACCCCCTCCCCCCCACCATGTTTTTCCGTTCTTCTTATTAAATCGTTTACGTGACTTGTTGTTTGTCCCGAATAGACAGTCCCGCGTGACTGGTGCTATTATCGCTCCCACTTTACAGATTAGGAAATTGAGGTTCCTATAAATAAAGCAACCTGGCCAAGGCTTCCGAGCTAGAGATTTGCACCGGGCCCGCCTGACACCAGGCTTGTGCTCTTTCCAGGCGCCCTGCCACGGGCTTCCCGGGGCAGAGCCCTGCGCTCATTATCCAAGGTTTCCCTGGGGCTCTTACAGCCCCAGACAGAGCAGCCGTTCCAGAAAGCCGTGTTGGGAGTTAGGTTGTCTGGTGTCCGAGGACAGGGGTGAGAAGGGACCCTGAAGCCTCCCTCTCAGCCCTGCTCCCTAGCCCCTGTCCGCAGGTCCCTTCCCTGGGTGAGGCTGGAGGTGATAAAGCTGTATTTGTAATGTGTTCAGTGTTAACTGTGTGCCCAGCATTGCATGAAACACACCTTCGCTTCTAATCCTCTCACAGTCCCGGGAGGGAGAAGCAGCATCTTCCCCTTGTAAAGAGGAGGAAACTGAGGCACAGGGCGGCGGCTTGCCCACGGTCATGCAGCTGGTCAGAGACGGTGCGGGGAGCACTTCTAGCTTGTTAAGAGGAGGTTTCTGGCTCATTCCGGCAACCAGCAGCTGTGGGCCCAAAGGCACCTGCTTCAGATTCGGGATGCCTCCCTTCTCGAATAAGAATGACAGTCGTTCTTAAGTTTTTAAAAACCTCATTCATTGAGCTTCTTTGTGTACTGAATACGATGCCATGAATGTCCTGTATTTCATAATCTAAAAATGCTTTTAACGACTTAATAAGCATTCGTGTACCCGCTTTACAGATGAGTTAACCGAGGTTCAGAGGGGTCCAGGGACATGCCCACTCCACACAAGCGTTAGTGGCAGGCCCAGGGACCAAAGCCACGTCCTCCAGACGACAAACCCTTTGCCTCCCCACTCGCCGTCAGCCCACAGGCTGCGGGTACCACCCCATCGTTCCAGAAGCATGAGTACAGCAAGGAGGTGAAGGGTCTGGGGGGAAGTTTTCCACCTGCCAGCACCTTTGCTGGTGTATCTGGGCGCTAAGAGCACAGAGAAATAGGGGCCTGGCACAAAGCAGCCTCTCAACAGCAGGTGCTCAGAGCAGGCAGAGTGGTCTGTGGGCTCCACTCTGTGGGGGTGCAGACCGAGCCCCTCAGTTCCGTGGCAGAAAGCAGGTAGCCAAGGTGGGTTCAGTGCAGAGTTCGGTCTGTCCTTCAGTCTTTGGGGGGACGGCGGGGGGCAGCTTTCCACCCTAGACCACAGGCTCCCAGGTCAGACTGGGCTTTTTCCAATCCTTCCCTGACCCTTTCTCTCTGTGAACTTGTTCAAGCCAGTTCCCGTCTCTGAACCTCAGTTTCCTGATCTGTACGTGGGGCCCCGGGGCTTAGAGGAAGCTGAGAAGGCACTTGGCACAGTGGGTTGCAGGTGAACATCCCAGTCCTGCCCTCCTGCCCTGAGCACTGGGGCACCTAGCTAATTCCCGGGGGCAGTCTCTGGGCTGGGAGCGGAGGCCCCGCCTGTGTAGTTGGGACCTAGGCTCCCTGCGGCCCCAGAAGGGAAAACTCAGGTGCCCTGGGAACTCAGAGTTCTAGCCGGTCACCCTGGGAGGGGTCCCAGCTGGGCCAGGAGGAAGTCCTCTGCACTGCCCCCCCCACCTCCGTGTTCCCTCCCGCCAGGGCCATGCTGCCCAGCCTGGAGAACAAAGCCAAAAGGGGTCTTAGCAGCTGGCAAAACCTTGGACTCCAGAGTCGGCTGGACCTGGGTGCAAATCCTAGCCCCGCTGTGGGAACTCGGACACGTGACTTTGCCTCTCTGAGCCTCATTTTCCTCATCCGGCAAATGGGTGGCTGGGACAGCTCACTGAAGAAGCGCACATGAGCATCTTGGCTCATACTAATGCCAGTTAACGCTTGTGCAACTCTGCATAGCACTATCCTTGCCCCATCGCCATTATCAAAAGCAGTCCTGGGTCCCCCCCCCCAGGCCCCAGACACCTGTGAGATGACTCAGTCCCCTCCCCCGGCCCTCCCCTGCAGCATCAGGCTTGATGATCCCACAGAGAGCCATGCGACAGGTGACCTAGGCCAATCCCAGCTCACCAAGCCCATCCCGGTTTCTTCGTGGGCCTGTCCTTGGCGGACCATGGCTCCCATGTCTTGTTGCCATGATCTATAAAAGTGTCTCTATTGAGATTGTCCTGTCTATTAAAATTTTAGCCATTTTAAGTGTTCATGGCCATTGAACACATTCTCAATGTCATGGAGCCATCACCACCGTCCGTCTCCGGAGCTTTTCCTCTTTCCAAACGGAACCCCCATCTCCATTAAACGTTGACTCCCCAGCCCCTCGCCCAGCCCCTGGCACCCACTGCTCTCCTTCCTACGTCTCAATGAACGTGACTTCTCTAGGGGCCTCAGAAAAGTGGAGTCGCACACCGTCGTCCTTCTGTGTTTGGCTGATTTCACTTTGAGTAATGGCCTCCAGGTTCCTCCGTGCTGTAGCAGGCATCAGGAGTCGCTTCCTTTTCAAGGCTGAGTAATATTCCGCGGTATGGCTACGCCACGTTTTGTTGATCCGTCACCCATCGGTGGACACTTGGCTTGCTCCTGCCCCACGGCTGTCGCGAACAGCGCCGCCGTGAACACGGGTGCGCAAGTCCCTGCTTTCGGCGTGCTGGCGTAATTTTTCGAAGAACACCCGCACTGTTGCCCGTGGCCGCTGCACCATCCCACCGGCGATGCACGAGGGCTCGCGTCTCTCTGGGTCCTTGCTAGCGCCCACTGGTTTCCGGGTTTTGATAATGGGCATCCTAGTGAGCGTGCAAAGTGGTATCTCGTGGCTTTGAGTTGCATTTTCCTTAATGATCAGTGACGCTGAGCACTCTGTCATCATATCCTCTTCTAGCAAGGGAAATTTGAACATTGCGAGGACAGATGACCAAAACAGTGAGGGCTTCCCTTAAACCCCCTCTTCCCCAGGAATAACATCCCCTGCGGCTTGGGTCACGGGCCTCTGGACGCGTGTGACAGCCTAACTCTGGGCACATGCTAACATAGCGTAGGTTTCTCAAATGACCTCCTGCAGTGTTGTTCCCAGCAAGGCTTCCTTCTCACAGGACCCGCCGGGCCATGAACGTGCCCTTTGGGAACGTGGTCTCAGCCCCGCGTCCCTTTACCTCAAGTTTCAAGGTTCGGAAATCAGAACTGGCCCGTCAGCCTTGCAGCAGCCCTACACCCACCCGGCCCCCTGTGCAGACCCTCTGTATAATCGGTGATGTCATCTCTCCCTCACCACCCACTGGGTCCGCTCTTAGCGACGCCTTGGTGAGGACCGCCACCCCCCCCACCCCCCCGCCCTGCCTGCCTGTCCCTAATTGATGGCTACCTAGGCTGACCGGCCTTCCCATGTGGAACTCTCCTGTGGAGCCGGTGGCTGCCAGATCTGTAGGGAGAGAACATTCCCCCGCCTTTTCCTGGCTTCACTTGTCATGTCTCCGTGGGGCTCAGTGAGACATCGGTCCCTCCACGGGGGGGCCTTCAGCCGCCCCCTGACCACGCACCGTCCTGACAGCTGCCCTTGTGGCCATGCGTGATTGGGCAGGCTCATGTCTACACTGCCTGGTGCTCAGCTGAGTGAATAGATGATGCTGTCAGAGTCCTGTGCCTGTGGCTTTGATTTCCTCGTCCCCCAAGAGTCTTCGGAGAGAGCTGGAGCCGGCCTTGCTATCTGGATTCTTCAGATGAGAAAGCAGATCGTTCAGGCCAGGGGAGGTAGAGACAGGCCAGGGCCCTCGCATTGCCCCCCCACCCGGGGTGCCCAGGGCTGGGGGCGTGGCTCTGGCTGAAGTCAGGGGCTGCCCAGGTCG